TCTGAACCGGCTTCAATGTGATTGAGGCAGTAATTTGAACAAATAGAGCGGAAATATGGACGATTCGTTGGGTGTCGTCGTGGCTACCTGATTACTATTTATCGCATGTGTCGGTCACACGTGAAGGTACTTATTTACTCATAATATATATATATAGTATATATATCATATATAGTACATAATTTATTTATTATGTATATATATAATAATATATATTTCTTTTTTTTTAATTGAATATATATAGCAAAGAACTAAACTGGGATAGACACAGATAATTGAAAATATTGATAACAATTAATAATTATTATAAGATATATTGTTAATTTGCTATTATATACTTCATTACTTGTTTATCCTAGTTTTTAATGGTTAATCTGAAATTTGTTCATATTAGGAGGTGACCTTTCATTTTTTCCATGTTTAAACAGAATTTATCAGGGCTATTATGCTGAAAAGATAGTCTACTCGGGTTTTAGATAATACCATGAGATTAGGTCCTATAGCGGTGACTAAAGGAGAGAAACATGCAAGGAGAGAGAGAGAAAGAGAGAGAGGGGGAGAATGTAGTTTTAATGAGTAGGTGTTTAATCTATTGTAGGCGAAAGAGTAAATAATATAATAAAATAATGAAATTCTTGATGTCAGAAAGCGTCCTAAAAGTAATTTCTATTCTCAACAGGTCTCAATGTGCAAGAAGAGATGTCATTTAACATAAGTCTAGACAGTTGTGGTTATTTTGCGTTCAATATACATTGGCGTTCTGTTATTATAACACTGGCATTGTTATGATTTACAGTTTGTTTAAGGAGGCAGTTAGCGCTATACATTATGGGTTGAAATAAGCACAGGCAAATGAATACGAAGACAATACAAAATATACGTCACACTAATATGATTCATAGCACGTGAGATGATGAAGCAGCTCTTGATTTAGTGTGCCTATTTAGGTTTTTTGAACAGGCCATTCGAATAAAAAATTTTATCATATTGTAGGCCAGTCCATGCTGTGGCGTACATGTGTGAAAATGGAGGAAACATGTTACGGAGATTGCTCAGCATGTTGTGTGTGTGTCGCACCCGGTTAGCACGGGAGTTTTTAGCTGTGAACGCAAGATGCCATGCGGCGGCGAAAACCGCCTGCCAAAACGGTGGAAGCTCTGGCGCTCAGTTGGTGACAGCGATGCATACACATGCTTCTGCGATGAAAAGTGGACTGGTAAACGAGTGTGAGAAGTTGTCANCACACCACAACCCACAACACATGAATAAGTCTGTACGAAGATTATTAACCAGATATAGCTATTTTTTAAGAAATGACGGCGGCCATTTTGAATTCAAGATGGCGGCCGAAGTTGTAGTTGGATCGCGTGTGTCCTGTCTTTAAATGGAAGAGCATACAAAAGTATGCAAGTGTACCAATTTTCACACTTTTTTTCACATTCTGAACGATTTTTATGGTATCCTGACCTAACCGACTGTACTATATATAAAATTACAGCACTCGGAAAGCACAGACCTCCGCCAAGGCAGCTGAATTCTCTCAATGTGAAATTTTATTAATTAATTAATTAATTAAGTGGAAAAATTAATTAATTAATTAAATAATTAATTGGATCCGGATTAGTGCGAGCGTGCAGGTGGGGGAGGACTGTGGTTGCCCCTTAGCCTGTGGTTGCGTGTTTGTAAGTCTACAGCCAGCGCACCTAGCTGAAGTGAACTGAAACGTGCATGTTAACAAACCCACAAACCCACAAACACACAAACCAACACTCAAACACACGCCGGTGAAAACATAACCCCCGCCAAGCCCCTGGCGGAGGTAATTACAGCAACAAAAAAGTTGTGACGCGTGTTAACTAGCAGAAATTCTTATTTCCAAGAATTCAAAAGTATTTCCAATGGTGTTATATGTGTGTACGGGTCATGTTAGACTGCTGGGCGTGTCGAACTAAGTAGATGCTCGAGCTTACAGCGCCTTTATTTGCGGAGCATGCCTATTAAAGCTGGTGCTGCTTGCGTGCAGGTAGGTGTGGCTGAGAAAGGCCGCGTGGAACTCACGAGTACGAAGGAGAATTAAAAATTACTGAAGGCTGTTGGTTTCTGGGCTCACTCCTAGAAATAGGCATCTTCCACAGAACGCGGTCCTCTTTGTAAAAGCATTCCGGCTTGCCAGCCATTACACATGTTTCACGATTTAAGCAAGCAAGCAACAATAACAACAACAACAACAACAATAGTAACCATGACGACGCCGAAAATAACAACAACAGTAAGCATTACAACAACAACGTTTACATCTTGAGCTACATGACCCAGCTCATACTGATGTGCGTAGATGAAGTGAGAAGCGCCTATCAAAAGAAGTTGTAATAGAATGAGAAATGACTCTTTTTTTGGTGTACATGTGCGTCGACCTGTCAGCTATCTATCGAAGAGGCCTGATTTCGTCATGTTCTCGTGGTCTTAACTTCCTGGCCTGCAAAATCACATTAGAATGGTAACGGATTTATATACTAGGATTAGTCATCATGTCAACATGTGCTACCCGTACGCGCCATACGTGCAGCGGTTTAACCGCGGTGGAGCATGTTTGTCGATTCCATTGATTTAAACAGCGCACGTCTGATATCGGTTTGGGATGGGTGCGAAGGGTGCATTCGTATAGCAAATAGACTATAGATGGGACCTTGGTCCGAATCAGGGCTAAAAAAAAAGGTCGCTCAACGGTTGAAACACATCGGCCTGTTACTCAGAGCAAGTTTCTCGACTTATCCGTATTATAGGTGAAACCACATATCAAAGAAAACCGGCTGAAATCGTCACATTACTGCACGGGTATGTGTAAAGGTTTAGTTATATATTTAACAATAATACTACTAATGCAATAATCGATTTAATTATATTTAGGGGGGTCGAACTAACAATTTAAGTATTTCTATGTATGCATGAAACAGCAATCATGTAAAGATGTGTTATTGTAATGGGATACCTTGTATCCGTTTTGTATATATTTGTTTCTGTTATAATGTAGAGTAGTTTCTTCTTAAGACATAATATACATCTTTTACCTGTAAATTAATTATAATAAAATTAAAATCGTAGGTAATCTTTTCCTCTGGGAATGCAGGTTATGCTTCGGGTCGTCTTCGTGTGCGGGCTATTTAATTTCGGAACATTTTAATACCAAAAGCCGTGACGTGACAAGAAAAACCCCACACCGTATTTGGACTGAGTTTTTTTTTGAAATTGTGTTTCGGAGGTGCGCGCCAACCTTTTCAAAACCATTCTACCAGAAATGCAGAAGACTATATGCATATGTATTGTGCATTTCTGGGGTCATACTAATATGAAAATATATGAGGATATGCATGTTTGGATATTTTTACTTAGCAACTGGTATTCTATTCGAGCCCCCCTTATAGCGGCGTTGACAGCGAACCTGGCTGTGTGTGAGAACTTGCACACGACCGTATTGTCACAATTTTATATAACTTTAAAGTGAAAACCCTTACATGAACGTGTTCAAGAGTGTTTGAAAAGATTAAGAATTGATGTGAGATTGTAAGAAACGTGGGAAATGCTTGGGAAATCACGACCCGAGTTCTTTACTTGTAGCTACAAAACCATTGTTTCCTCATTTGTTCTTTTACAATCATGATGTGATTTTTACAAATTAATGTGAAGACTTGTAATTAGTATATTGTAATCAATAATTAGCAATAATTAGTATGTGACATTATTATGACACAATATCGCCCCTTACACGTTACTAGAGCCTGCATCCTGCATCTATATAGCGTTATCCATAAACGTCTCAATTCGCACGATCAATCAAAGCACTCTAACAACCACAAAGATATTGCTGTAAGAAACAGCTACCGTATATTTGTAGGAAGTATAGACACCGAGAGTTAACCAAATCTGATAGGCCTATGTGAAAACCTCGGCGGCACCTAACACGGATATCCTAAACTAATATATTAGATCAAATATTTGTTTTCGAACATGCAAATCGTAATGCCTAAATTGATGTATCTGTCATTTCGACTGTAGTGAAGGAATATTTCTCTAAAATAAATACGATTTGCGAGATTCCCTTGATATGCTAAGCACAACCCCGGCTGGTAAATACAGAGTACGTGTGTTTATGGCCATAACACAAACAAGGGCGTTGTTACTGGCAGAGATTTACATCCGGGATCTGCATAATATTTATTTTATGTCTGAGAAAAAGTACAAAAATTCAATGTACAAGTTTCAGAAAGTCCAGAGGTAGAGCGGAGAAAAAGGTTACTGATATAAGCTATAAACGATTAGTATTATCGAAAAAATTCAGTTGCTAGGGGGCAAGACCTAGTTTCACAGTGATACAAATGTGTAGATTTACGCCATTTGAAAGTCACTTCTCGAGACGCTCACGCATTGACCGGGGTAGAAATGTTTCTTCGAAAGTACGCAGTCAAAAGTCAAAACAACATTGAACTCATTTGATCTTAAATGCAAATGTGTGTTTCTAACGACCCTATTTTAAATATAAGTGGACACTCATTCACAAACGCACGTACGAACGCGCGCACGCACCCCGGGAGGGCACTCCCATAGAGAAAATGCGTAGGTTTCTGTTTCAATCAGATGATAGTTACGCGCACTTACCATATTATCAGGAGTGAATAATAATAAATCTATTATTATTATTATAATCTATTATTATATATCTATTATAATTTATAATATATTATTATTCACTCCTGCTATTATAATACAGTGGAACCCCGATTTTACGCGAATTTGGATATAACGCGATGAGTCGTTGGACCCCCTTTTTTGCTCATATATAGCCACGTATTATAACCCCAATTTAGCACCACCCCACTTTTTTCGCTATGACATTTTATGGACCCCAACCATCGCGTTATAACGGGGCTACACTGTATCGCATATCTTTTAGTTTCTGCAATCAATATAAATCGTTACATTATTCGTGAATTTCTGACAGGTTTCCATGTGAATTGCGCAGTATTTGACAATAGAGCAGAAATATGGAGATCCGTCTGGGTGTCGTCTGGCTACCTGGATTACTATTTATCTGCATGTTCGTCCACAGTGAAGGTATCTTATTACTAATATATAATATATATATATATACATATTTCTTGATTTTTATATATATATATATATATTTACTTATTTTTTTATATTGAGTATATATACAAAACTATGGAATAAACAAATAATGAATTTATTGATAACAATTAATAATTATTATAGATATATTATTAATTACTATCAATAAATTCATTA